CTGATGTGTGGGTGAGGGGGTTCTTTGGGGGGGTCCCGGGGGGTCCTGGGGGTCCTGATGTATGGGTGAGGGGGTTCTTTGGGGGGGTCCCGGGGGGTCCTGGGGGTCCTGGTGTGTGGGTGAGGGGCGGCCCAGGGGTCCCGGGGGGTCCCGGGGGGTCCTGGGGGTCCTGGTGTGTGGGTGAGGGGTGGCCCGGGGGTCCCGGGGGTGTCCTGACAGTCCCGGGGGTCCCGTGAGGAGGGGTCCTGGGCCATGTCTGCCCCCTCCCCAGGGCGCTGTACCTGGTGCAGTGAGGTGTACGGGTGAGGGGCGGCCCGGGGGTCCCGGGGGTGTCCTGACAGTCCCGGGGGTCCCGTGAGGAGGGGTCCTGGGCCATGTCTGCCCCCTCCCCAGGGCGCTGTACCTGGTGCAGTGATCTCGGGGGTCCCGGGGCGGTCCCGGGGGGGTCCCAGGTGTTTCCCGGGGGTGCCGGGGGTCCCGCCGATGCTGCCCCCTCCCCAGGGCGCTGTACCTGGTGCGGGGTCCCGGGGGTCCTGGCGGTCCCGGGGGGGTCCCGGCTGTTCCCCGGGGGTGCCGGGGTCCCGCCGATGCTGCCCCCTCCCCAGGGCGGTGTACCTGGTGCGGCACACGGCCACGCGGCAGCGCTTCGCCATGAAGAAGATCAACAAGCAGAACCTGCTGCTGCGGAACCAGGTGCAGCAGGCGTTCGTGGAGCGCGACATCCTCACCTTCGCCGAGAACCCCTTCGTGGTCAGCATGTTCTGCTCCTTCCAGACCCGCCGCCACCTCTGCATGGTCATGGAGTACGTGGAAGGTGCGGCCGCGCCCCGCGACATGGGGCGGGTGTCGCGATGTGGGGCGGGGGAGTCGGGATATGGGGCGGGGCGTCATTATATGGGCGGGCAGTCGGGATATGGGGCGGGGAGACGCGATATGGGGCGGGGAGATCGCGACATGGGGACAGGTATTGGAATATGGGATGGGGATGTCGCGATATGGGGATATGGGGCCGGGTACTGGGGTAACAGTTGTCCCCATGTCCCCCACCTGTCCCCATTTCTCTCCTGTCCCCAATGCTACCAATATGCCCCCACATCCCAAATGTCCCCAATGTCCCCCCCTGTCCCCAATGTCCCCGATGTCCCCGATATCCCCCCACATCCCCCATGTCCCCATGTCCCCACTGTCCCCAATGTCCCCGATGTCC